TTCACATTGGTAAGAATGTAAAATTGGCCCGTGGGCCGTGGGCGGTCCAAAGCTCGCCCCCGAGCTGGGGCGGGCCCGGTCCGTTGACAATGTGAATATTCACATTGACATGTTAACATTCACATTGATAGAAGTGTAAAATTGGCCCGCGGCCTGTGGGCTACCCGGGGGGGCCCGGCCCGGCCCATTGACAATGTGAATATTCACATTAACATATTAACATTCACGTTGATAAGAGTGTAAAATTGACCCACAGCCCGAAACCCGCCCGCCGACCTGGGCCAGCCCGGGCCGGCCCGTTTACAATGTGAATATTCACATTGACATGTTAACATTAACATTGATAGAAGTGTAAAATTGGCCGGCGGCCTGGAGCGGGTTTGACCTGTTGACAATGTGAATATTCACATTAACATGTTAATATTCACATTGATAGGAGTGTAAAATTGGCCTGCGGCCCGTGGGCCACCCGAAGCCCTTCCGCGGCCCGAGGCAAGCTCGTTTGGGCCCGGGCCCGAGCCCAGCCCGAGAACTTGGGCTAGGACCTGGGCCATCACTTTGAAACTAGGCCCGCATCAGGCCCATTTAAGGCCCAGCCCGAGGCCCGACCCGCCAAAGGCCCAGTGTTTTTTTTGTGGAAAATAATAAAATTTTGGGAGAAAAAATTAAAAAGAATTAAAAAAAATGGCGAGGCTCACCCAAGCTCAACCCAAGCCCAAATCTAGGCCCAAGCCCCTTGGCTCGACCCACCGGGGCACCCAAGGCCTGAATACCTTTGTGCCAGGGCTAGGGCCTAGGCCTAATTTTTTGGCCCGTGGGCCGGTCCGACCCGACCCGAATTTTGGCAAGCACCCACAAGGCTTTACATGGGTTGGCCCCGGCTCGGGCTGGGCCAAGCCCCTACATATTAATGAATGAGCATTCACATTGACGATGTGAACATTTACATTGACGATGTGAATATTCACATTAGGGGTATTTTGGTAATTATGTCACCCATAGGATGTGAACATTCACATTAGGGGTATTTTGGTAATTATGTCACCCATAGGACTTATTGAAACATAAGTAGATAAAAATAGTATTTTGGTCTTTTTACCTCAAATAGGAACATTCACGTTGTCGGTGTGAACATTCACATTGACGGTGTGAACATTTACATTGACGGTGTTAACATTCACATTGACGATGTGAACATTCATATTAGGGGTATTTTGGTAATTATGTCACCCATAGGATGTGAACATTCACATTAGGGGTATTTTGGTAATTAAGTCACCTATAGGACTTATTGAAACATAAGAAGATAATGTGGACTAAATGGAACATAAGTAGATGAAAAGGGTATTTTGGTCTTCTTACCTCAAATAGGAACATTCACATTGACGGTGTGAACATTTACGTTGACAGTGTGAACATTCACATTGACGATGTGAACATTCACATTAGGGGTATTTTGGTAATTATGTCACCCATAGGATGTGAACATTCACATTAGGGGTATTTTGGTAATTATGTCACCCATAGGACTTATTGAAACATAAGAAAATAATGTGAATTAAATGGAACATAAGTAGATGCAAAGGTATTTTGCTCTTCTTACCTCAAATAGGAACATTCACATTGACGGTGTGAATATTCACATTGAAGATGTGAACATTCACATTAGGGGTATTTTGGTAATTATGTTACCCATAGGACTTATTGAAACATAAGAAAATAATGTGGACTAAATGGAACATAAGTAGATGAAAATGATATTTTGATTTTCTTACCTCAAATAGGATCTAATGGAATAATAAAAAAGAATATGGGTTGGATTGAATAAAGTTCTTAGAAAAAAGATTTATCAAAAAAACTCCCTTTAAAATTCTATTATTATATATTAAAATAACATAAATTGCATATTTTAAGCATTAAAAAAAGTGTAATTTTTTTAATTAAATTTTCACACGTATCTTGACATTAAGAGCATAAATTTGGGGTGTAGATTTTTTTTTTAGTTCACAGTGTAGAGAGAGAAAGAATTAGTCTTGAGAGAGAAATTAGAACAGTGATTGAATGGAGATATAAATATGACATTTAAATCATGTAAACGGGGTTGGGAGGCCAAACTGTAAAAATGGCAGATTCATATACAGTAATTCCATGCATGACAATTTTTTTTATCAGAAAAAAAAAAGAAAAAAAGAAAGTAGACAAATTATACTAGTAGTTCGCTTTGTTCCTTATATCATTTTAGTTTCTACAATTTTAATTGGATCAATTTTGATTTTGAATTTTTTACTTTGTTTTAATTTGATCCAATTAATTACAATTGTGAATATTATTTTATGAAAAATACATACATCAACGACATGTGTCATGTTTTTACGGGTAAAATTATAAACTTAATCAATTTAATGAGTTAACCTCAACTAACTCACTGTTTGTAAAAAAAAAAAAAAAAAAAAAAAAAAAACTTAATGGCATTGTCAATTGGATTAAATTGACACAAATTGAAAAATTAAGGGTCAAAATATAACCAATTAAAAGTACAGAGATCAAAATAGCACAAGAGGCAAAACATAAGGACTAGTAGTCTAATTTATCATTATATGATCCAAAACTAATTAATCACAATTTACTCCGAATTGGAGTGTGTGGTTGATATTGAATTTTGTAATGTGAGGTTTATGTGTAAAATAAATTTAAACCACAGTACAATAATTTAGATAATTTCTTAGTAAGATTTCTGACTTAGGTTAATTACACTTAGTATCTCTATACTTTTTTCAAAATCTCACTTTAGTCATTTTACTTTCAATTGTAACAGTCAACTTTCTATACTTTAAGTCAAGCTGCAATCTCATTTCTTCTATCTGTCTACTTTTTAACAAAGTTGACAGAACTTGTCATTTAAAGCATATATGATATTTTTGTTGTCTATTAGCACACTTATATATTTATTAAAATCACACTTTAATCCTTACACTTTTATCAAAATCTCATTTTTCAATCCATCACTTTAGATGGATAAAAGATTAGATTGGAACTTGATTCAAACTATAAGAAATAATTGTTGCAATTGAAAGTGAAGAAATCAAAATAAAATTTAATAAAAATATAGAGATACTAAGTGTGATTTACTTTTATGAATTTTTAGCATTACTTGCGGCCGCATGGAACGGCAGCAATATTGCCCAGGATTAACGGCTTCCTAAAAAAATTATACTATTTATTAATTTATATAAGATTGTATTATTAATATATTTAAATTCATCAAAAGTCATTCATAAAGGGGTATTTTTTTAAGTCCCTGATATTATGATTTTATAGTAAAAAGGACATCAAATATTTTCATGATGTCTAAGGTCCTCCAACATCAATCCAGAAAAATTTCAGTCCCAGAGAAAATTGGTCCAGAGAAATTCTGGGAAGAATTTCTCTGGACCAACCCAGAGAAAATTTAGTTCAAAAACCAGAGAATTTCTCTGGTTTTAACCCAGAGAAAATTCAGTTAAAAACCAGAGAAATTTGAAAAATCCAGAGAATGAGGTTCAAAGCAAATTCAACACATCCAACTCTACAAAGCCCATGAATGTACGTGTTGTATGTTACAATAGTTGGGCAATTAATAGTTCTTCTATGAGTTTGTGATAGATTTTCTTTAAATTTAATGGTATGAATTTCTCTGGTTTGAATCCAGAGAAAATTCAAAATTCTTGATCACTTTCTCTGGGTTGAATTTCTCTGGGTTGAATCCAGAGAAAATTCAAATTTCTCTGGATCACTTTCTCTGGGTTGAATTTCTCTTGGTTGAATCCAGAGAAAATTCAAATTTCTCTGGATCACTTTCTCTGGGTTGAATTTCTCTGGGTTGAATCCAGAGAAAATTCAAATTTCTCTGAAACCTGAAAGATATTATATTTCAACACTGGATATATATATATATATATATGTGCTGACATTGTATATATATATGTATGTATCATATATATATATATATATACGTTTGCAACCATAGATAAGATAACTAAGAGTGACTGTTTGATTATGGTTGAAAAACCACCACAAAACCCTAGACAACAACAACAATCACATCATCAATGTGGAGACAAGAACCCAAATACCCAGTTCAACAAGTGACGAAGGCACCTTAGATCTGGTTTCGAGAAATTGAAGTCTCCTACTGACTGTTTGTTTCTCGGCGACGCCATTGAAGGCCGGATCCGGTGAAGCTGGAGCTCAATCGGTTGGAGAATGAAGTTAGGGGTGAGGAACAAGAGTTGATCTGGACAGGTATGAGAATGGAGAAGTTTAGAGAGAGAGAGAGATGAGTTTTGATTTGGTAAGGTCAAATTTCTCTGTGATATGTTTAGGGACCTTAAACATTAAAAAATAATTTTGTGGATCTCTTCCATTATGAAAAGTGGGAGAGGGACCCTAGACCAATTTTCCCATTCATAAAATTTTAGTTACAAATATGCACAGCTTTTGAGGTGTGTGCGGCAACATTTTTAATATTTGCACACTAACAATGCTATTAATACATAGATTAAATATAAAATGAGACATAAATATTTCATAAAAAAATTGTAATTCATAGGGTGTAGGACCCAGATATGGAACCCACTTCCCATATTTCATTCCATGTTTGGTCCTGTGCATCTAAAGTTACTATTTATGCACACTAGATTGAGTTCATCATTTAAAGGCGGTTCTCTCTTGTTTCCCATATTATTATTCCATATCAAACATCCAAGCCTTAATGGAGAAAACTCGGTTCCTCTGCTTAACTGCAATGTCCTTGGCACACTGTTTCTTAGCCTGCCTGGCTATGAATGTTCCCAACTCCACCACTGATCAATCTGCTCTTTTAGCTTTCAAATTCTATCACTTTTGACCATCCTCACCACATATTGGCAACTAACTGGTCCTCAGCCACCTCAATTTGTGACTGGATTGGTGTCTCTTGCGGCAAGCGCCACTACAGAGTGGTGGCCTTGAATCTCCCAAACATGGGTATTGGAGGCACCATCCCACCCCACATTGGAAACCTCTCATTTCTATCCTACTTCAACATCACCAGCAACACTTTCCATGGTCGTCTTCCCAATGAGTTGGCTCGATTGCATCGCCTAAATGTTGTCGACTTTGGTGTCAACAATTTCGGTGGAGGTGTTCCATCATGGTTTGGAAACTTACCCAAGCTTCAATACTTGCGTCTTGCAAACAACAGTTTCACTGGTTCAGTTCCACCTTCCATTGGCAACATATCAACATTAGAGTCTCTCAATTTAATGTCCAATTTTTTGGAGGGAAGAGTTCCCGAAGAGATCAGTTATCTTCCTAAACTGAAGTGGTTACGCATGCGATGTAATAATTTGTCGGGGTCTATACCGCCAACCATCTTCAACATGTTATCACTTCAATGGATTGATTTCACATATAATATGATGTCTGGTAGTCTTCCGAAGGATTTGTGTGTTTTTCTTCCTAAACTTGAAATTCTCTCTCTTTCCAAGAATGAGTTTGATGGCCAAATTCCATCAACTCTAGGTGAATGCAGAGAGCTCAAATTCTTATCATTGTCTTACAATAAATTCACTGGTTTCATTCCAAAGGCAATTGGGAATTTGACTTTACTTCAGATTTTATATCTAGGGGTGAGCATGGTCCGGATTGGATCGGATTGGGATAAAACCAAGACCAATCTGTTATCTACGGTTCCTAAAAAATTGGAACCAATCCAATCTGTTTAAATCATGGAACCAATCCGAACCAATCCATTTAAATACGGATTGGATCGGTTTAGGACTACAGATTCACATAATTAAATAACAAAAATATATTTATAGCACTTTAATTTTATAAAAATATAAACATAGCGCTATATTAGTTCCACAATAGCAACATATTTTTCTATAATAGCGACATACTGTTCTAAAATTTAAACAACCATAAGAAAATTTGGTTTCACTATAAGTATTTAAACCATTATAAATTAAAACTAAAAACTAACAAACAAGAGTAATAAAAGAAAATATTATACAGTTTTATGTTTGAGTTTAGATTTTATATAGAATTAAGAGAAGATACTATGGGGGAGGATGTATAATAAAAATATAGACTATTTGTATATGGTTCGGATCGGTTCCAATCCGGAACCGTAGGGTTCAATCCGGAACCAATCCGTAGACTACGGATTTTTAATTCTTCAATCCGGAACCGAACCGCGAATTCAAAAAATCAATCCAAACCTATCGGATTTAACTGAACTGGATCGGATTACTGATTTCACGGATCACTTGCTCAGCCCTATTTATATCTGGGTGGTAACAATTTTAAAGGTATGATTCATTCTCACTTGTTAATGTTATTCAGTTTGTTCACATTTGATATATATTCAAAGTAAGAAGATTTGGAAAATTTTATAATATAAATCCTCTTTTTTTTTTTTTTTTTTGGTGTATACCATTTTTTTTTTTTTTTAGGTCTCTCACGGTATCCCCAAGTTTTTTGGACCTAGGACTAATCCACCGAGGAAGCTGCTGGGCGCATATGCGGGGTCCTCTCGCAAGGGGGTTTGTTGCGACCCAAGTCCCTTTCCCCTTGGACCAACCCCTATTGGTGTGTATACCATATTCACAATCATGATCTTTGTCTTATTACGATATTGGTTATATTTTAGTTATAATTTATTATTGTATTAATTATGATCCTTTATAATTTTGTTTTGTTAATGACCAAAGGGATTTTAATTATGTTCCACGTGGTATTTGATTATAATGCTTGCTTATTTGATTTATTGTCATTATTATTTTAGTTATGATGGATAAAATCTTAGTTATGTCTGGTTTGATTATAAGTTGCTGCATTTTTTTAAAAATAATAATAATTGTTGGATTACTAGGGGTGAAACTATAAAGGTAGGGAAGGGACCCCTCCAAATTTTTGAAATTATTTATCAATATTCATAACATGAATATTTATAAAAAAGTTTTGACTTTTTATTATCCCTTATGTTAGTTAATACTATCAATTTACCAAGTTAATTTTATTAAATATAACTAGCACATATCACTTCATTTGTTAATTTTAAAATTCAAATGCCTTGTCAGCTTTTTAATTAGTATGTTTTACTAACTAATAAAATGCTTAAAACAATAATTTAATCGATTATATTCTGAGATTTACTTAATAATTTAAAACTTTGAATTATAAAATAAATAAATAAATAAAGACTTGTTAGATTTTTATTTTTTCCCTTCATGAAATACGTCTCCCAAAATGCTTATTATATGCTAAGAATTAGTTAATAATTCAAAACGTTTATATGTTGAACCACCTACCTCTTCTTCATTGCATGTATCTAAGAGTTGCTTCAATAACTTTTTCTTTCACAACGCTTATCTAAAAAAGGATAATTCTAAGCACCCCAGAAATTAGGTTGGGCACCCATTACTTGGAATACCCCAATTTAAAATTTAAATATTTATTTATTTGTTTATACACCCCAAATAATACCTATTATAACCCTTAAAATAAAAAAATAAAAAAAATTTACTTTAGAAATTCTACCTTCTACACCTCAAGTCTAATACCTACTATATGTCCGGAAACTTAATTCCAAAACTATGAAGTTTATTCGGATATTTAGTGCCGAACAAATGAAATATGTTCGAATACTCAGTTTCGAAAAATAAAAAATTGGTTGTACCATTTTCGTCTCGATACTCAGTGCTGAACAAATTATATATATATATGTGTATATATATCCAGATACTTAATTTCGAATCTATGAAATTTCTTCAGATGCTCAATGCCGAACATAATACCGGATAGTTTTTTTTTTTTTTGAAATTGAAGTGTGAAAAGGTTAGAAAATTAAATGTTCAAAAAAACAGAGCTATAAATATGATCATCATAGAATTATTGATTTGGAAAACAATATAGTATATTTGAATATTAAATTTCTGAAGAGATTAATGGATGAAAAAGAAATGGAAGAGAAAACGGATTAAACAAAAGTATTAATTTTTTTTTTTACAAATCCCTTCTCCCGATTCTTATTACAATTTTTAATTGATCTAAACAGTGGACTCTAAAATTTTATGTGGCATCAATTCAATATAATTAAATTTCTTTCTACCATTTCGTTGCCTTAGAAAAATAAAAAGGAAATGGATTTTTTTGGGCGGGTTTGGTTATCCATAAAAATTGAAGAAGTGTAAGTAATTGTTTTTCTTTATTTTAACAAATTCAACATTCAAAAATAGTATTAAAAAAGAACTACTAAAATTTGATATATACATCATTTGCCTATCCGAAAGTGCAATTTACATGTTTGCCTACCCATTTGAAAAGCAGCTTTATTTTAATATGTGTATGTTGATACTACACAACCTCTTGGTAGCTAGGTACAATTCGTAAATTACTTATTATTTTGCAGGCGAAATTCCACAAGAACTAGATGGTCTACATAGTTTGGAGAGTTTAGGTATCGAATCTGCCAACGTCACTAGTCTCATACCATCTTCTATTTTTAACATCTCTTCATTGGAAGTGCTTGTGCTTATACTCCATTCATGTTGTCTTCATCTTTTCATTTTTTATTTTTCAAATCCTTATCTCAATTCATAATTCAAACACTGTGTGGGTGAAAATCTGACCACACTGCCTGCTTAGTAACCAGCTGAAGAGCACAGGCAGAATAGATGGCTTCAGTAACCTGTAACAGAAAGAAAAGGCTCCGGCGGTGGTTCTTCCACCCGGGGGCACTCCGACAATCAAGTCAGTATATCTCTCAAAGATAATCAAGTGCAAAACTTAATACTCAAAACATAAATTGCATACCTTAGACCCACGGGGGTGCCTCTCTTTTATAATATACTCAATCCAAGTCCTACTAGAAGTATGACACTTCTTCACATAGGCTTCGGCATCCTTTTGCATGTAGGGCCACCAATACCCCTGGGTAATGGCCCTGTAGGCACCTCGGCTGACACGTCGGCGTCACCTTGGCCACGTGTTGGTACTCAAAAAATATATCTTCGAACTCCGATATCTTCGGAGGTAACCTCAGCCTTGCCGAGATAACCTCGGCGTCATGACCAAGATACGTGGCACCTCGGTTGACACGTCGGCGTCACCATGCCACGTGTTGGTATTCAGAAAATATATCCCCACAACTGCCCCCTAGGTTCTATTACCTCGGCATTTTGAGGTGATGGAACCTATATCGATATTTCGACGTTTCTTTTCTGAGTAATGGCTAAAAAAACCGTTTAGCCGAGATAATCCACTTCGAGCCGATGTATTCTCTTCGGAGAACAAGGTTTCGAACGTACTCTCCCACGCACATAAGCTGTCATGCATATCTAACCGTTCTTTTCACGTGTATTGTCTTCATTGGAGCGTGTCTGTGACGCGCCTGAAAGCCGTCTGTCATTTGTCTGTGCCGTCTGACGCGTGCGTTGCTCTAGGCGTAATAAATGCCCTATTTTTGCCGCCGTTTCACGTTTTGTCAAAACTTTTCCTTGCCTCTTTCTTTCTTCACTTTTTCATTCTGATTTCTTGCTCTTTCTCTCTGAAGAAGCTCTTTCGAATCTGTCATTGTTCTAACTCGAAGTTCTGCGATTTTTTGTCCCTTCACCTTAGCAAAGTTTCCTTCGTTTCGTTGTGCCTGCAATCGTTACTATTTCTCGGCGTCGTTCTTTCCGACTTCATTTGTTCTGGTAAGGCCTTGTTTCCTTTACTCCCAATTTTTTATGTGTTTTTACCATTACTGCTTTGTTGCTCGATTTCTCTTATATTTTGAACATTTGCACTGTTTCAACACTTTTCTTGCCACTGTTCTTGATTTTCTTCACTTCTGTATTTCTTTTGTTTCTGAGAACTATACCTCTGGTCTTGAATCTGAAACTCCGTCTTTGTTTTCTGTTTTTCGTATCTGTCCCAGATCTGTGCCTTCGATCTTGATCTTTACAGTTCTTAGGCTTGGGATTTGTGTGTAGAACCTTCAAGTTCTTAGGCAAAACTTAAACAAGTCTTATCAGTCCTTGCCTAGGCCTTTGTCGAGGTTTTTGCAATCCTTCTAAAACGCCCATCTTCTGAAACACACTCCTTTTTGTTTAGACCGACGTAATGGGTATGTGGAGGCATAGGGTAAATACCCCAACCAAACTTGAATACTTTAGGCAGGAATTCTCTATCCCAGCCGATGTTCACCTTAAGCTAGCTAGGGACGATGATACCATCATGCCCACAGACCATACGATGCCCTTTCTTATAGTTGCCTTTACTGAATGTGGACTTCGGCTTCCACTTGATCCCTTGTTTCGTGATGTTCTTTATTTCTACAAGCTGAACCCCATGCAACTTACCATCAACTCCTATAGGGTGATTAACGGTATTATAGCTTTAGCTAGGCAGGAGAATCTTAGGATCACCCTGGCCGACCTTCAGTACTGTTATACAATGTGCCCCCTCAACCTGAAGGAAAGGGGCTTTGTTTATTACCTTAAGCCGAGGTCTACCAAGTACAAAATTGTAGCCGA